AAATTTTGTGAACTAATAAATGCACAACCTGTCATAATTCATTTACTTATTGGTTGGTTACACAATATAAATATATATAGTTAACTACGATGTATCTGAGGAATAGTGCCACATAGATTGTGATCGGCTACGCTAGGAGTGAAAGTAGATATGTTTTTGTAAATAATGCAGAAACAGTTAAATCACATTAAAATAATACAGTTATTCGAATAAATCAGTTAATTAAACTTCAGAGTACGTATCAATCAAAATACTGTTGAAAAAATCAGCCAAATAAAATAGTTTTAGAAACAACAAATCTTATTATTTATTAGTAAGTTTACTGAGAATATTTTATCCCCCTTCGCAAGTTGGTCGATAACTACTAATTAGTCATATTTAATATGCTGAATTAAATTTCCAATGACTATCTTTAACACAATGTTTCCACTAAGCAATCAATTACATTAACACATTTAACTCAACTATAACTGAGCACAATGTAAATAAGTAGATTTAAAGTTTGTTTACACTAAAAATTAATTAAGGACTTTCTGTCAGTTTGTTGACTGTTCCTATAAATTTTATTGAATGAAATCAATTTACCAAATGTCTTATTATAATACCATATAAAATAATAGATGTTGATTTCATTTGGAGTGTTGGTACAGGGAGTACTGGATATATGATTCACTCTAGTATGGCACCTTTCAACATCGCTTATCCATAACCTCTTCGGGTATCGAATTCAGTATCTTCAGGTGTTATGGTGAGTACTTAAATATTAGTATCACTGAGATGTCACCAACCAGCGCCAAGTGCCTTCCACAGATCGCCACAAAATCACTTTATCCATACTCTAAAGTTATGACTATTGGGCGTCAGATACGTTGGGAGTGAGGCAGTTGTCACCAGTAATATCGAGTGATTGTCATTCTATGTCACAAATTGATTAAGGTTAGTATCTAACCAATGAACATCAATCCAGTGTTTTCAGTAGTTAAGCATTTGTTACCTGATTCGTACGTCACGAGGACTATCCCTGTGATTCTGGTTGTTAGTACAGAATCTTAAGTAGCCGTGCATTAGAACATAAAAACTGTCTCATCCCCAGTGGATTTGATTGGTACCCTAATTGAGACCCATCTGCAACAAATACTACCAAGAGATGACTAGATAACTAGAAAATCAAGTTTCTTACAACAATATAATCAGTGAAATGAAAACAATAAAATTAGTAACTAAGTTTACTTTGAACAAGAGCAGTATATACAAGATTTATTATTGCAAGAAATAAATAAAAGAAACTGACAGAAACCCTTCTAAATGAGAGAGAAAACTGGGTTTTCTAATTTTTTCTTCCAGCATATACACAACCACCCTTTTACTTCATGACTACTACACTGTTGAAAATTACTGTTTCCACATTAATAAACATTAATTACATGTAGATTATTATTATTTTTTTGCTATACAGATTTTAAAGAAAAAAAAACATTGAGAAACTGAGAGAAAGACTGATAAACTCAAGTTGTTGAGGAATAAAACGGAGTGGAAAACATGAATATTGAAGTAGAACACTGATGTACGCACACACAAAGAATAAGAGATGATTCGTTGCTAAGTGAATTTGTTTTAATTTTATTCTTTTAATAAGATGGAAAACAATTGTTCCTTTTCAAAACAAAACAAAAAAATACGGCGAATTTTATTATTTGTTATTTTGTTATGAAGGAAAAATGTTTCTTAAAAGATAAGTTGAAAAGAGATTGTATGTTGTATCGTTATGTTCCCTATTATGCTTTTATCCCGTAATATTTTTTTCTCCTTTTCTTCACTGTACATTGAAAAAACATTTGAAGGAACAGAAGAATAAATGAATAAACATGAATATTTTGAAGTGTTGTTAAAGAGACATTGATTCAAATAGAAATTACAGTACGGTACATTATTCCATTTTTTAAAATTCAAGTTAATGGAGTGAGTAAAATAGCTGAAAATAATTGATTGAAATGTGCGAGTTCCACAAACTTATACTGATAATTACCATGTACTCACTAGTGACTAACTTCCTGAGGGAATTCTCGGAGTTGTAGTGAGAAGCCGTGATCAGTGGAACTAATCTGTGTCGGGTAGAGACAGGTATCTACCTCGTTACAATGGAAGCTGGTCGCGCAATTTCGTGGATTGGTTGAGGTTAGACATTAACACTATTTTAAATTGATTGAGGTCATAAACTGATTGATGTTAGACCACCATGGGAAACCTAGAAGCACTGGACAGCCGTCTCGTTCTAGTATGGGACTTCTCAGCAGTGTGCATCCACGAACTCGCCTAACGAGATTCGAACCCGGAACTTTCAGTCTCGCTCGGGAACGCTTAACCACTAGATCACTGAGTCGGCCGGCATACAATGGTGTTAATGTCTAATTTCAATCAAGCCACGAAATTGCGCGACCAGCTTCCATTGTACGCAGGTAGATACCTATCTCTATCCTACACGGATTAGCTCCACTGATAACGGCTTCTCACTACAACTCCGAGAATTCCCTCGCGAAGCTAGTGAATAGTGAGCACTTGGTAATTATCAGTACGGGGTTGTGGAGATTATTAATTTTTTGATTGCGATCGTGAACTGATTTATGTTATGCCACCATTGAAAACCTGGAATAACTGGACGGCCGTCTCGTTCTATCGTATAAATTGATTGAGGTTAGACATTAACACCATTGGATGCCAACCCAGTAGTCTAGTGGTTAAGCGTTTGCGCGCGAGACCAGAAGCTCTGCGTTGAAATCCCGTGAGCAGTATCGTAGATGAGCGCTACCGATAAGTCCTACAGTAGGACGAAACGGCCGCCCAGTGATTCCAGCTTTCCCATGGTAGTTTAACATCAAACGGTTCATGATCTCAATCAAAAACCTAATAATTTCCACAACCCTATACTGATGATCGGTTATCAGCTAATATTTGCCAGTGAAAGAATATCATCATTTTTGAAAAAAACAATTCCCTTTATAAGATATGAATTAGAGTCAACCAGTATGCACAATTAGAGACGCAGCCACTGAACTATTCAATGGATGACCGACTTCTTGTCGAGATTAAATTGTTTACATTGACTGAATGAATACCATGTTATTAATTACCATACAGTTAATAATTAGTATACTACTTACCAGAAAAGTTGAAGTCAGTAAATTTTCAATCATCGATGACACAGTTGTTCGGATGAGGTTATCTGCAACATTTTTGTTGTTCGCTAAGTGGCCATTTCTGTTTATTACTGAGTCCTGTATATTAAAGTGGAATGTTTATTTAAAGTTCCATCTCAAGTCCTAACTTATAATATATCTCTGTTATTCATCCTGAACACTGGCCTACGTTACGCTGAATATGTGCATAACTATAGACAACAACTCCAATCTTCTTCAAAATTAAATTACACATCAAAATTACACTCAAATATTCAGTACTCATTCTTTAGATGGGAAGATATTTAGAGAACATTAATAACATAACATAAAAATAATCATGTCTAATTTCTACAACTTGTCATCTCTAAGCCCATGGCACTTAAACCCATATACAAGTAAACAAATACATACATAAATTAATTTAAAGTAGTAAATGTATTATAAGCAAAGATATATAGTGGCTAAAAGTGGAATCCAAGACGTGCGTTTCACCCCATTTGGAACTCGTATTTCTTTATAAGTGATGTTTTTATCATAAAAATTCAATTCGAGCACAATCAATAGTCGGAACTTCCAGATTTCTCATGTTGGTCTAGCTTCAATTGACTCATGATTTCAACTATTGAAATTACTAAAATCTCCACAAAATCCCTTCTAATAAAAATGATAAAGTAACTAATGCTCATAATTTGAAACGGTTTATTAATTGCCCTATACACTGACTAATAATCGTAAGTTTGTTCTATCCTGTTAATTTCTATTTGACAACAAACTTCTTTATTCCATTGTAATTTGTTATAAATCCGTTACATAACCAAGTAGTTGATGTGAACCATAATCATTTACAAAATAAATAAATAAAGATGAAAATCAGAAGTACATCGATACACGTTTCTTTTTTCTTCTCATTTTTGTGAATGGAGTAAATATGGTAGTCTTATTCTCTGATTAGTTAGAATAAACAAATAATAATAATAACATAAAATACAATGACTGGCCTGTCTGTTCTTTCGTCAGGTGAAATCCACCTCTCTCCCATTTTGTCAACACACAACAGTGAGGATAAGAAAGAAATAAGTATAGATTTGAAGGTGAAGACAACATTGGTTACAGTGGTAGATGTTACAGTAGAGTAGTAGCAGTAGTGATAGTGGCATGTAGGCACCATTTCAGAGAATTTAATTACTAATATTCATTATTATTATTATCTCACTAGAGCTGAACAAATATGTATGTATGTTTACCTACAGATGTGGGTGTATGTATGCATGTGTGTGTATGTACGCAAGTACGTACGTTTGTATATTTTTGCATACACATTTAATCCTAACTGATTTATCCATTTTTTATAAAACTATTACAATACTGAATTCAAACCATCCTCGATACATGAATTCATCTGTTCATCTATAGAAATATTTATCATATGGTGTGCATGTGTGTAAATCTATGTTCTAGTTGAGAATTTTTTTATGAAAATGTTGATAATAATATTAACAAACTGGACACTGTCCATTTGGTATACAGACAGAATATATGTACATCACAGTAATGTATTATCGTAAAATATATATATCATATTATATACTCACATGAGCAAACATGAACCATATATATAGAGAGAGGAGAGATATATGAATAAGTACCTCAGCTAAACGTAGTTTCACATCATTACATGTATTCGTGTGTTTGTCTATTCAATAATAATAATAATAATATATTGACTTACATGTGTGTGTTCCTCACTATCTCTCCGTGTGTTTGTTAATCATCTATGAGGGTATTCGACAGATGAGTAAATTAATTATAAGTGAGTTAGCGGAGTGAGGAAATAACAGTGAACATTTCATTTATCTTACCTATAAACTGTAAGGTGTATAATATTTCTGTGTAAAGAAAATCGTTATCATGACCATTATTAGTATCATGTTTTTGTGAATAAAACGAACATAAGATAGTGTGATTTTTTTTCAATGTTGACAATCATCTTCGAATTCTAAAAAGAAACGACGACTACCTCAAAAACACTAATACTGTGATAACTTTTGTTCACTTATCACAAATGAATCATTATAAGTATTGTTTCCATTATTTCTCAAAAAACACTAATGTAATAATGAACCAATTTCTTTGAACTCTTTCACTGATCATTATGATGACGACATTGTTAAATAATATTAAAGAACCGTTACATCATATACCAAATCAATCAGTTATGACAGTTACATCGAATTATACCGATTTAACTATGCTAAATACGAAAATAACTACTAGTAACAACAATAATAATAACGGGAGTGATATTACTACTCATAATGGTATAACAAGTAGTAGCAGCAGTGGTCATTGCAGTGATAATAACGATCTAAATGTTGCTGAACCACATTTATTACTGGACAACTGTGATGATGCAATGTTATCATCATGTAACAGTTCACTTATAATGGATGAACGTGAAACTAACTCAGGCAGTAATTCACCAATGATCAATGCGAGTGTTACGATGACAACTAATGAGAATATTATGACTAACATTAACAACAACAACAACAACGCTAACACCAACACTAACAATAACAGTACACATTCTATAATGCATACATCACCATCGTCATCGTCGTCTCCATCATCATCGTCATCATCATCAATATTGGAGCATCATCAAATATCCACCTTCAAGAATAGAGAGTCGAATGATTTTCGTTGGAATACAAAAAATACAAAATTATTTGTTGGACAGATACCAAGAAGTATGCAAGAAAATGATTTACGGGTAATATTTGAAGAATTTGGACCAATTTATGATCTGTTAATCTTAAGAGATAAAATTACTGGGATGCATAAAGGTGAGTTATAATTTTAGAATTAATAAATTATAAACTCATTGATTAATTAAATGATAAAACTATTTAGTAGATAAATAGTTCACTCTTAAATTTGAAACTTCAATAGTGTAACCTTAGAACATTCAGTTTATTTGATTAATACGAATCGGTAGTTTAATAGATTTTTTCGTTTGAGTCATAGTTTTTATTAGTCTCTAATCTTTGTTAACTAATTTCAATAAATTAATGTTCTTCTGTGCTAACTTGACTCACTCTATAAGTCAATACAGATTTGTTGTTATCGAATCTCTGTTAGATAACGGTTTGAAGTTATTCATTTTCAGTATGTAATCAATTTCCAGCATGGTTCGATGATAAAATTTGATTCTGGAATAGTTTTATATATAAATGAGCTAAATTACACCATTTTCAAAATGAATAAACTTCATAATCTGCTCTAAATATATGGGGTAGTTGTTTGCAATAACATTTTAAATGGTATCCGTTTGACACACCTACACAAACGCAAACATTTGTTTAAGTAGTTATCTTTTATTGTAATCGTTTTTCGAAAATGTTTTACCTATCACTTTTTATTCATAATCATTGGTGTTCAAAAGACAAAAGTTGGTTACATAGGGTAAAATACACTTGAATTTAATTAACGATAAAATAATTCAGTGGGTATTTATTCAGTTTGTAGGTTGCATTCATTATTGAATAATGTCAGTTGTGGTACCATAAGAAAAAAAGGACCACTCGATATGTAGATGTCGGGAGAAGATCCTTCAATAACACTCAGGATAACTATCTCACTATCAACAAGCCTTAATTCAACTAGTCGTGATGTTCAATTAAGCTTGACAAAATCATTCTATCACAACTGATATCAATAACTCATTATATATATATATATATATATATATATATATATATATATATATATATATCAGAGGAGAGCGACTCAGTTGATTTATCCTTTCTTGTAAGCGTTACAAACAGTAAGAATTGTTTAACTCCTCAGAACTGAAAACAATTTGATTGATTAAAACAGAAATATTCTCTGTAAGTATTAATTTATACATTGTTTCATGGAACTGTCAATGAAATGTTCTCAACATATTATTAAAACTAGAAGTCTTCTACCTGAAGTTTGTGCTGATGATGTCGTTCAGAAGAATAATGAAAGCTCCATGACCAAATCATCCACCTGAGCTTCAAGTCTTCTTCACCACCTCAAGACTAATGAATTTCACATGATAAATCAATTTTATTTATTTCATTGGATATTTTTCTACAATTAAGAATCCAAAATATTTGATAGAGATAGGGAGAATAAAAAGGATGATGGTTTTTCGTTTCATTACCTTTTCTTTTGCATTTAATCAATTTTGAAAGCAAATGACATTTATCATTGAATGTTTCTGTATATAAAATGGTTATATGATTGATGAGTGGATATATTACTGAATTTCATTAAGATTTTTATTGAATTTTCTATAAATTATAACTAAGTGAATTATTTACACAATGATTATCTTATGACTGTATGATAATAATCCCCACTCATGATCACTAACAATACTATACTGACAGTAATAACCCTATGTGGTAAGCATCAAGATAACATGAATAATTAGTCTGTTTATTCATTATTCTATATATTTGACTACAATAGTGAATTTACAGTACAATCTCTTAATAATATAAGAAAATTCCTGTTGAATATCGGTTTAACTTGTGAATCATATATAAAATGCTGACTGTAATTTATCTTTACCCTTGAGTGTTTTTGATTTTACTTAATCCTACGATATATATCATTGTATACTATTAATTTGATACATGAATTCTGTTGTAATAAGCTCCTGTTCTTCCAGTGTTCAGATGAAGTAGAAAAAAAACATCAACCTACATGGTGGTGGCGTTGTGGATAGACGTGATGAAGATCATACTACTTGAATTTTGTGATGATTAATTGTAATTAAAAATCTTTCTTATAAGATCGCTCGAGTATATTCGACGGTTAAAAGTGGATAATTATTTACTCAAAACAAATCGTGAATTGGTTGAAGTTAGACATTAACGCCGTTGAATGCCGGCTCGTTGGCCTAGAGGTTAAGCGTTCGTGCGTGGGATTGGTAGCTCCTGGGTTCAAATCTCGCTGCGCGAGGTCGTGAATATACACTGCTGAGGAGTCTCATACTAGAACGAAATGGTTGTTCAATGCTTCTAGGTTTTCCATGATGGTCTAGCTTCAATTAACTCATGAATTCAACTATAAAATCTAAAAATATATTTTTGTAATACTCGCATATTTTTAGTAAATGATTAATCAATAAGTTTGAGTAGCTTACTTATACCAATGAAGTAATCTATTAAAAAAAGTCTATTTTCGATCTGTAAAAAAAATGGTTTGTGTAAATTTGTGATAAATTATATATCTAGAAAGAAATTATATATTTGTCGGAATTAAATGGTTTTTTATCTGATATCCAATTAATATAGTCTTCAATCTGATGGAAGTTATCTATGAAATATCAAGAATACATTTATTATCATCATAGTAAATAAAATAAATGTCAATCCCATGGTTTATGACCATGTTGAATGTGAGATAAATATTACCAGTGATATTGGTGATATAAATAGTTCGATTCATGAGTCAACCTAAATTAGAACACCATTCAAAGCCCGGAATCACTGGACGGCTGTCTCGTTCTAGTATGGTTCTCCACAGCAGTGTACATTCACGAACCCTGCACCAAAGAGACTCTAACCCAAGACATATTAGTCTAGCGCTCGAACGCTTAACCACTAGATCACTGAGCCTCTCAGTATTATCATCAGCTATAATGTTGAGATTAAGTGAAATTGTTTTTATTCGCAGTTTAATTATTCTCTTAATGTTTCTTCGGGATATATTTATTAAATGATATATGGCTATCTATTTCGTAAATTAAAATTATGCTAATAAATTTTTTATAAACAACTGGACAATTTAATGTACTCTCTATTGATAATTTGAACATCGAATATTATGGTTTATTTAAAGTGGTTTTGATTGAAAAAAGAAGTAGGAATATTTTTATTCCCTTTTAAAATACTCAAAGTTGTTAACTATAGCTGATCTAATAATTTGAATGTTTTACTGATCAAACAATTACTGTATTATCAGAAGGGGTTTAGGAGGATATTATAGTAGTTTCAATAGTTGAGATCATGTGTCAATTGAAGCTAGACCACCATGGAAAACCTGAAAACATTAGACAGTCGTTTCGTCCCACCATGAGACTCCCCGGCAATGCTCATCCACGATCCTGCCATGCGGGATTCGAACCCAGAACCTATGGGTCTCTTTTTCCTTGATCTTTTCAAATTAATCAAAGGAAATGATGTACAAATCAACTTAATCTATTAACTGATAACCATTGAAAATTAGTAGAAATGAACGATCTATAAAATTGAATGTTTTATAAAATATTTTGTAATTTAGTTTAACAAAGGTTTTTCTAGTTAAACAAAAAAAAAGGTACATTGAAAACTGTCATAATATTTAGCTATTGATCATAGTACAATAAATTTTTTTGTAGTTTGACCTCATAGAAAGCGGAAACCAGTGAGAAATCTGAAAAACAAAATCGAACTAGTTAATTATCTACAACATTTCACTGACACCAATGAAGTAAATGATTAATGATTAAGGGTAACAAAATAAAAAAGAGATCAATTCGGAAATAGCATAAAATCATCGAAAAAAAAGATAATTTACTGAATTATCTTTAAGGATAGTAAGTAGGAACAAAATACAGCTCATGTATATTCCACTTCATTCATGCTAAGGTTTAAAGAGATAGGTATTGTGTTTGAATTTCAGTGTGAACATCAACAATGAGAAAGTGAATTAATTAGTTGACGGACTCTAAATGAAACGAAGCTGTTATCATAGGTTTTATTCCTAGCCTGAAATAATAAAATCCAGTACTCAATACTTATTGTTTCATGCATATATTGTGATGGAAGATATTTGTTGAATTCCATTATTGGTCATTATCTAAAAATAAAGTTTAATTATATCCAAATCATTGTATACATATTCAGAGTAGATTGATATTTACTGGAAAAATGTAATTGAAAACATAAAAATCAATCTAAATAGCGTTAATTTAGGTTCCTCAATAATATATAATCCTAACCGTTCCAACCCCGCCCTCTCCTCCACACACATATAGATCATTAAAATCTGATTTTTTTCAGATTCCCTACTATTCTAATTAGATTTCTATCAAACGGTTAATAGTAGGAGTTTTGGTAATGACTTCAAATTATTTAATAGTAAAATGAACCATTTATTATATGCTAATGAATAAATTTATAAAGTCCAATATGGAAATTATTATTAATAAACTTCAATCATGATGAAAGTAGGATACTGTTTCCCCATAGTATACCATAAATTATTTGTATTTGAAAATATTGAACAATTGTTTATAATATCATTATTTAAGTGTAACACATTTTTATTCAGAGGGTAGCGACAATCCCAGACATTTGGTTTCTTTGTTACTCAACAGTACAAATAGTAGCAATTTTTTTAGAAAGTTAGTTTTCTACGGGATGTGGTCGATAACCCCATGTCCAACCCTCCTCCTTTAGCCGGGCTCCAGGTGGAGTTAGTACAAATATTATTATTGTTATTTCTATTTTAAACTTTTTTGTATTGTATAATCAGGGAAGAAAATTTTCTTTTTAATACTAACATTTTCTTGAGCTATACAATTGTATTTATAGGCAGTTTTACACATAGTGAAGTGTTACATCATTAAGCGAAGTTATTAGATATCAGCTAAATGGTTTTTCTAAGTCTCAAATGTATGTTGTTATAATGATCATTACTTCACTAAATGTATTTGCTTTTTTGATAATTGTGAAAAAAGCAATAACATGAAAGTCTTTCTAGAGTACAAAACGAGTTACTCATTCTCTATTCTCATGGCGGATCATCAGCTGCATAAACAGTT